AATCCTGCTATTTTAACATAGTGTAAATAGGTATTTGCACTTAGTGTAAATAGCATATTGCTAAAATACTGCTATTTTCACTTAGTGTAAATATAATCCATTGCTAATACGAGATTTGAAAAGGGAGGGAAAAAAATTTCGGCAAAAGGCGGGATCGAACCCAGGTCGATCGCGGCAAAAAGCCAACGACACACGCTTATCAATCTGCGCGACTGGAACTGATAATTTACAGTCACTTTTAACTATATGTAAATAGACACCCCGTATTTTTTATTCTATAGTAAGGGCAATTCATACAATACATTTAAACTGAGCTACTTTAATACCATCTCCGAACTTTCTACCACGACTCTGCTGTTCTTCGGCTGGTTCTTCCTGTATACGTTGATTGACAGATGTCTCGTCCAGTCAGCGGTGAGTAATCCCAAACCAATGGCGCTGTCTCAAACTTTACCTACCTCTTCCGGTTTGTTTGATTTGTCATTGTGTTTTCGAATTTGTCATTGTGTTTTCTGACTTGTTATAATGTTTTCTGAATTGTTGTTGTGTTTTCTGAATTGTTATTTTGTTTTTTAGACTTGCATTTGCGTTTGTAATTTGTTATTTTGTTTTCAGAATTGTGATTTGTTTAGCACTTCTCGGTCACCGTAGGGATCATGATGCTTCTGCCCATCTCGGAGGTCGAGGAGCACAGTGTGGAAGCTGGAGGAGCTGAACACGCAGCGCCAGCTGAAGCTTGGGCTCCGATCCTCTGGGGTGGGTGGGGCATTACAATTTTATTTTTTTTCCCAGTACAGATTAATCACCCATGTGCGCAAGATATACAGTAGGTGGCGGTAATACTCCTAAGGAGTGAACGGCCATTGAACAAAAAGAAGAAGAAGAAGAAGAAGAAGAAGAAGAAGAAGAAGAAGAAGAAGAAGAAGAAGAAGAAGAAGAAGAAGAAGAAGAAGAAGAAGAAGAAGAAGAAGAAGAAGAAGAAGAAGAAGAAGAAGAAGAAGATATATTTTAACAAATAGCTTAGAAATTTTATTATTTATAAATTAATTAAAAAACTGCATTATGTGCAGTTTACATGTTTGCATACAATTATTATTATTATTTTTTTTTTTAAAGTTGAATGTTGATCAACTATTTAAAAATAAATAGTAATTAAATTTAAGTTTGGGTTAAGTTGTTAGGCCTAATTGTAACCTTATAATGTAAAAGGGCTCCCTATAGTTTTAAGCATAAGCTGAGGTAGATTTTTATCACTAAGAACATTTAAACTCTAACTGAATGTATTTAAAGAAAGAGCAACTTGTTCAGTAAACCATTAAAAAAAAAAAAAGTTTTCCCCCTGCTGTACCGAAATCATACCGAACCGTGACGTTAAAACCGAGGTACATACCGAACCATCATATTTGTGTACCGTTACACCCCTAGTAAACATTGTAAATTATTTATTCATTGTGTAGATTTTAAAGCCAATGCCTGATAAGTGAACTCCTCCGAACTCTTGTTGCTAAAGGACGAATGTTTAATAAAATTACTTGCTCAGTTCATTTTCTGTTTTGATGAATAAATGAAAGAATCAATGTATTTTTTTAAAACATGTATGTATATTAATCTGCAGCTTTGTATTATTTTAATACTTCAGACATTCCCAAGTGAAATTGGAGCCAATATAATTTCTGTTCATGTTAAAGGAAACAAGCTATTCACATGTATCATTCATTTGGATTCATCAGAAGACATAGAACTTGTTAAAATATGACAAGAAAAGCTGTAACAGTGTACATTTAGAATTAGTTTTGAGATCTTGTCTAATCATGTACTGACTTTTAAGGCCTATTTATAGTTGATTATGCATTTTGATATGAAACATTGTATGTAAAGTGATATTAATTAGAAAGATGTATTATTGTATGTGGTTTTTGCCTTCCACAGGTTACTGTGGTCACTGCTGTTGTCATGTTTCTATCTGAGTCTTGTCCTGACAGCCATCCTCTTCCTCTTCATCATGGGAGTGAGAACCTGGCTGCAGATGAAGAGGAAGAGCAGGAGAGCTCAGGACGGCTGTCCCGCCGTGGCCTTCTTCCACCCATACTGCAATGCAGGAGGAGGAGGAGAGAGAGTGCTGTGGTGTGCTTTACGTTCTCTTCAAAACAGGTCAGATATTTCAGCTCTTAAGAGTCTGCCATTTATTTGGCCAGACATTTATGGGTCAGTGACAAATAGCAAGTGAATGCATGCAAAAAATCTAAATAATACAGATAATAAACAGTAATCCAAAATGTAAAACATTTTATACTATATTCAAATTGTGTTATGTGTATATTTCTTAAGCTTGATGACTATTTTCAAGTTATTGATTCTAGTCACTAAAAAGGTCATACAAAATATTTACATAATTATAATTATTCCATATAATTAATAATGACTTGCAAGTATTAAGTAGTCAGAAGATGTATTGTAAAATCTATTGTAAAATGATCATGCCTAACTACAATGTTATCAGCATGACTAGAACCTATTAAACTGACTGTTACTTGGCTACAGGTGGAATACTATACCATGACTTTCCAAAAATATTTACATTGACCTCTACTTATATGCAACTTAATATTATATTTCAAGTGAAATATATAATACATAATTAAAAAAATAATACAATATATAATAATTAGGGCTGCACGATAAATCGCATGCGATGTTTAACGCGCATCTTATCAGTAAAGCCGGTTCTGTATAAGATGCACATTAAATATCGCATGCGATTTATCGTGCAGCCCTAATAATAATGTATAAAATACATACAGAACATTATTTAGTAATATATAATATTAAATACTGTACCACAAGGCATGGAAATTTACACCACAGTGTATTTGGAACCAAAAAAAAAAACATAACTGGACAGACTTGCTTACTTTTTACACAAGTCCTTGTCCCTAGATTACTGCAATGTTTTTTTCCTGATTATTTCCTGGTGTATGCTAAATGGAAATATATATTTGTTTTTTATTTGTTTATTTTATATATTTTTAGAAATGGTCTTTTTTTATTGTAAGAGTGAACAGTTGATATTTTGAATCTCTTAAGCATAATATTGTCTTAAAATATAAAAGAAATTTTTTTTTACATTATGTAGGTTAAGACTGTGTAGTTGAATCACTAGGCATACTTTAATTTAAAAGCTAGTCTTATAATTTGAATTTGCCGATGACAGCGAAGTGAGCATGGCATGTCACTGACCCATATATAAATGTATTAAAGAGGTCATATGATGCGATTTCAAGTTTTCCTTTCTCTTTGGAGTGTTACAAGCTCTTGGTGCATAAAGAAGATCTGTAAAGTTGCAAAGACTAAAGTCTCAAATCCAAAGAGATATTCTTTATAAAAGTTAAGAGTCAACCACGCCTACCAAAAACAGCTCGTTCTTACACGCCCCCACATATCTAAGTCACGATGTGGGAAGATTTGCCCAAATGTTCACGCAAAGAAAGAAGGTGTAACTTTTATTCTCACAGTAGTATTGTTGCCCCTGCCGCCATGTCATGAAGACGCTGTGTGCTTCGTTGTGAAAGCGAAACTACTTTGTTTGGTCTTCCAAAAGAGGACGATATC